GCCTAAAATACTTTAAATGCAGATATACTTCTATGGGAAGGTTTTTGTTGAAATGACAGTGACAGGGTCTCTTCAATCACATCATTAGCCAAAATCATAAGCAAAGAGCTGCAATGACTTGAGCTGGACCCAGGAAACAGAAATCCGGTTACCTCTTATGTACTACGACACTGAACACACTGTCACTGCTTTTTGGTGCAACTTTATTGAACAGACCTGTTCGTGGCATTCCAGTATTCCATCTAGAGAGGGCTCTGAACAGATGGCAACTGGACATTTTATCTTCCATTTGGCATTGACTTCCATGTTGGCAATGAAGTCAAGCTAACTCAATGCAAACCAGGTACAAGCATAGAAAAAGCTCCTGTAACCTTAAGGAGAACCTGTCTTGTCCGGGCTAATGCAAGCAGCATCATTTTCAATAAAGTTATTTCAAAATAGTGAATCAGTAGTCCCCTATTTAGCTTTGCTCTTCTTTTTTTTGATTGGCTCTTCAGCTTGAGTGTCGGAAGTAACTTTAAAGTATATCTAAAGCCAAAAATGTAACATTTTGAATAGCGTAAGGGAGGGTTAAAACCGATGTCAGCTTTTTTTTTGGCCATGTGTCTCAGAGAGATTTCCCTTCACTTCCTGTCCTGTAGAGTCAACAGGAAAATTATCTTTCCAATGTGAGGGGAAACCCCCTATTAGTTGTCACGGGAACAAGAGTGCCCCTTGCAAGATTTCCCCTCTGTTTATTTTGGTTGCAACTCCAAATTTTGGGTTCACCCTCGCATTCCCAGTGACATTAGAGAGAATCAGTATCCCTAATGGGGACACATACAGTAATAAAAACCTGCCAGTGGTTATAAACCCCTCACCCCTCTATTAGTTATACTGCCGCTACCCCATCAACTGCCTAACCTCACACGCTGTCTCTGAGCTCCTGAGAGTGCCCAGCAGTATGAGAACACAGGGCCCCGTATCTAAAGAGGAATGTAAACAACTACAGGGCCCTGTTATCTGATACTGCTGTTCTCACTCCGGAGCTGGGAGTGGTGCGTGAGGTCAGCCAGTAAACATCAGCTGATCTCTCACTCACAAAGACAGATTCAGACACAGTAAAGCTAAGTAGGAGGCAAATTCTATAAATTCAGCAGAATTTTAATCACAAATTGAAGTTTTGGGTTCTCTTATAAGCCCAGTTGTGACAAGTTCTCTGTAAGGTAAACACGAGATGGCGACTGGGAATCTTAAAGCCACCAGGTTGTTCTGTAGAAGTGTTCCATAGACATGTGTTCCTGTATGAGCTGGCTACCAAAGATAATGCCCTGAGCATACAGTGCTAGTCGTACCAAGGGGGAACTAAAGGAATGGGGAAGATATATTAGGATAAATATACAATCCATGGATCTCCCCCATTCCTTTACGTAGGCATAGCACCCCCTCCCATTCCTTTTGTAGGCATAGCACCCCCTCCCATTCCTTTACGTAGGCATAGCATCCCTCCTCCCATTCCTTTACGTAGGCATAGCATCCCTCCTCCCATTCCTTTACGTAGGCATAGCATCCCTCCTCCCATTCCTTTACGTAGGCATAGCACCCCCTCCCATTCCTTTACGTAGGCATAGCATCCCTCCTCCCATTCCTTTATGTAGGCATAGCACCCCCCTCTTATTCCTTTATGTAGGCATAGCACCCCCCCATTCCTTCCTTTATGTAGGCATAGCACTCGCTACTGAAAATAAATCAGCCTCGCATATGAAGATATATAAATTGACGGCCAAGAAACCCCGACCTGTAAGCCAAATTCTTACTGTATGGGCTTCCTGATTCCGCTGCTGAAAACTTCTACAACCCGCCACCCCAACTGAAGATTTGTTTTTTTTGGCAACTAGTATTTCTATGTCCTGCATTTTCTAGTGGATTCTCATATATACATCTTATATTAGTTGCAGGCTGGTGGCACAGAGAGGCATGTTGAAAAGCCATTTCCTTTCTGGAGTCCCAGACTGAAAAGAAGACCTGGCATGAAAGGGAATCCTGCATCTGCTCCAACTAAAATATATATATCTAGTCCATTCTGAGTGGAGCTTATGATAGGGTTAGCGGGTGAGACTTTTACGAAGACCGTCACCACACTGACAGCCATATAGACCTATAGTACACAGCGGGAGAAAGGGGGCGGATTGCAATCTTTGGCATATCGACAAGCACACTCCTGGCACCGGGTATAGCGCTGTGCACACCAGTGACACTATATACAGATAAATACAGCGCTGAAGAAAATACTACAGACATTATATACAAATAAATATGGCAAGACCGCCAGCAATGCGCACAGCTGAGTACACGGTCAGTTTGCCAGGCTTGCCGCAGGATTGTGCAGATACTATGGCCTCTCTGATGAGGCTATAACGGA